TCACGCGTGGAGGTGCCAAGATGGCACGCAAGAGAGTCCTCCTACGACCACCGTGGGTGCTGTCGAAACGACGGTGTAATAACCGCCATGCCTCAAAGCCATTTTTCGTGCTCTGAATGATCGTCCATGCTTCACCTTCACACAAGCTGCTCAACACTGACTTCACTTGAGAAATATACGAGGCTAGACCCGGGACTTCGTCATCATCACCCTCGAGAGAGAACACTGCATCAGGTGCATCTTTATTGACTGGGTCATCTTGTTCAAGGCTGTACTCCAGGACGCGTGCCAAAGCAGGATCAACTGCACTCAAATACTCTTCAACCTTTTTCGCCCACTCTGTGAACTTGTTTTCGTCTGATGCAAAGACAAAGAGCTTTCCGATGGCCTTAACGTCGACAAGGGATGGTGCCGACCGTCTAGCCATGAGCTCCGTCTGGCGCTCAAGTGCAGACACCAAACGGCCCACAACATCGTCACTGGAAGCTCTCGCTTGCTGTGCCTGCTGCAGCTGCTGATTCTGATTTTGCAGTGCAGCCATTTGCGCTGTCATGGCCTGCAGCTGTTCCGATAACTGCTGAATATGATGCTCCATTATGTTTCGACCCAAGCCCCTTAAACAATACCGACGGCTGAACTTAACCCCTCCTTGGGCACTTGATTCGAGGCAATCGCGGAGCTGCCCGCGAGAGCCCCTCCTCCGACTAAGCCTGATGTTGGCGGTGCGGAGCTACCCGCGCCCGCCGCTGCAATGCACACTCCGACCCGCTCACGCAGGATTGCCACGGCCCCTAACAATCTACACGCTTACGCTACCATGAAGATGTTTTTGGCTGAAAGGGGCTGCGGCAGCAATCAAGCAAGCAACAGTGCATGACAGTACAAGTGGACAAGGAAGGGGTGGATTTCATCACCTTTCCTCAATCCCTCCCTCCCATTCTTTTTCCGATCCCGGTTTTCCCCTGTTCATCCCTCTCCTTCCCCTCCTCCTCCTCCTCCTCCTCCTCCTCCTCCTCCTCATCCTCCTCCTCCTCCTCCTCATCCTCCTCCTCCTCCTGCTAGTCGGTGGGGGGTGGGGGCGGGGCTCTCCGCCTCAGCGCCCTCTGGGATGCGCAGCGGCTGCTGTCGAAGGCAAGGCGGCGCGCGGCGCGGCAGGGAGGGCGAAGGCCCGGGCGGCAGCGACAACACGAAAGCGGCGGCGCGTCCGCGATCGCTCGCGGCCGGCCGCCAGCCCCTCCTGCAAGGAAGAGCCTTCCTGCCATTTGGACGCCCGAAATGGGTACGGAAAATATGGGTACAATGCCCAACAACAAATCTTGTCCCGAACCAACAGCGGCCGCTGTTGGGCAGGCGGCCTTCTGTCTCAAATGGTCACAGGCCGCGGCGACACCAACAGCGAGTGATGTTCAAAATGAACCAGGAATGTTGTCGGTCTGTGTACCCATGATTTCCGTAACCAGTTCGATCGTCCCGATCCCAGGGAGGGGCCCTCCAAGAGGCAGTCCGACACGATGCCGAGGGCAACAGGGCAAGGCACCACGATGAGAGGGCAAACAATCCACCCCCATACTAATCACCCCGACACGCGAAGCCGTGTACCGCGTAGCAAGCGCACCCACAGAAGGGATCGCACAAGGCATGGCCAGGCCGGATAGTTGACGCTTAAGGCCGCTTAACAAACGCCAGGTATCCGATCCGGATGGTTTTTCCTCCCTTGAACGCTGGGCCGCACGAGGCCCAAGGAGCCGCGTACGAGCGACGACGCCAGCGCCCGCCTTGGGAAAACGAAAACGCACCGACATCAATGCTCCCAGGACCTCTTCCAGGGTGCGTTCTGACCAGGATCTCGAGGCGAATCCAGCGGTGGCGACAAATGCCGCCCGAAAGGCCGAAAAACGGGACAATGGGCGTAGGGTAGCGGCATGGCTACCTTTTCCTCTTCTGATGCCTGGGAGGGGCCGCGAAAAAGGGGAAAAACGGGCGAAGGGTAGCGGCATGGGAACCTTTTCCTCCTCCGATGCCTGGCCGAGGCCGCGAAAGAGGGAAAAACGGGCGAAGGGTGATGCTCGGCGCCCAGAGACCCTCGGGCGGAGCAGAGAGAAAGAGAGGGACGGCGGCTGGCGTGTCGGCGCCCCGGCAGAGTTGGGCCGCCGCTGCGGCCACCCCCCCGAGGGCTCGGGCGCCCCCGCGGCGGGTGGACCGTGCACGTCGTTCGCGTCGCTCTCCGATCGCCGGTCGCCGCTGGCGTGCTCGGCCGCCGTGGGCCCCGCCCACACCGCCGCCCGGAGGGCTCCGCAGTGGGCACGGCCGCGGAGGGCCCCGAGCGCTGAGCAGCGCTTGCGCCGCCCGCGCCCGCGACCTTCGAGGCGGGGCCGCGCGCAGTCAGTCCGCTGGGGGGCCGAGGGCGCGAGACACGCAGGAGCGCCCAAAGTGCGGGCTCGGGAACTGGCTCGAGTCAGCGTGGGCGGAAACGGGAAGAGAGGGGAGGAGGAGTCGCTGGAGGAGGAGGAGGAGGAGGAGGAGGAGGAGGAGGAGGAGGAGGTACCGCGGAGGAGGCAGGAGGAGGATCTCCCCAAGAGGAGGAGAAAGAGAGAGAGAGAGAGAAAGGGAGGGAGGGAGGGAGGGAGGGGGAGTGGACGACGAGGGGGACCGGGGGAGAGGAGGGGGAGGAGAAGGAGGAGAAGGAGGAGGAGGAGGAGGAAGAGGGTGAGGGGGAGGTGGAGGAGGAGAAGGAGGGGGAGTGGACGACGAGGGGGGACTGGGGGAGAGGAGGGGAAGGAGGAGAAAGAGGGGGAGGAGGAGGAGGAGGAGGAGGAGGAGGAGGAGGAGGAGGAGGAGGAGGAGGAGGAGGAGGAGGAGGAGGGGGAGGAAAGCAGCTGAATCTGGGAGGAAACAAAAGAATTAACCCCAGAATTAATCCACGGGAAAACCGCCACGGCGATCCAACCTGGGAAGAATTAACTCCAGAGCTAATCCACGGGAAAGCCGGTAGCAAGATCCACTCTGGAAAAATGGATTAACTCCGGAGTTAATCCACGGGGGAGGGGTGAATCAGAGCGCCGCCCTGGGCCCCGTGAATTCACTCCAGAGTTAATCCACAGGGGAGGGGTGGATCAGTGCGCCGCTCTGGGCCCCGCGAACTCACTCCAGAATTAATCCACGGGGGAGGGGTGGATCAGTACGCCGCTCTGGGCTCCGTGAATTATTTCCGGAATTACTCCACGGGGGAGGGGTGGATCAGGGCGCCGCCCTGGGCCCCGTGCGAATTAACTCCGGAGTTGATCCACGGGAGAGGGGGGGATCAGGGCGCCGCCCTGGGCCCCGTGCGAATTAACTCCCGAATTTGTCGACGGGGGAGGGGTGGATCAGGGCGGCGCCCTGGGCCCCGTGAGCTAACTCCCGAGTTAATCCACAGGGGGCAGGGGTGGATCAGGGCGCCGCCCTGGGCCCCGTGAATTGACTCCGGAGTTAGTCCACGGAGGAGGGGCGGCCTGTCAGAGGCCCTCCAGGAGGCCTCTGAGAGGTGCCGCCCTGGGCCCGGTGGATCAGCCAAGCGGCCTCTCAGGGGCCCCTCTGAGAAGCGTCCAGGAGGGCCTCTGGAGGGCCTCTGGAGGGCCTCTGAGAGGCCGCCTGGAGGCGCCCCAGGCGGCCTCTGATCCACCCCTCCCCCGTGGATTAACTCCGGAAATGATTCACGGGGCCCAGGGCGGCGCCCTGATCCCTTCCCTCCCCCGTGGATTAATTCCGGAAATAATTCACGGGGCCCAAGGCGGCGCCCAGACCAACCCATCCCCTGTGGAGTAACTCCGGAGTTAATTCGCACGAGGCCCAGAGCGGCGCACTGATCCACCCCTCCCCTGTAGATTAACTTCGGAGTGAATTCACGGGGCCCAAGGCGGCGCCCAGACCCACCCATCCCCTGTGGATTAACTCCGGAGTTAATTCGCACGGGGCCCAGAGCGGCGTACTGATCCATCCCTCCCCCGTGGATTAACTCTGGAGTGAGTTCGCGGGGCCCAGAGCGGCGCACTGATCCACCCCTCCCCTGTGGACTAACTCTGGAGTGAATTCACGGGGCCCAGGGCGGCGCCCTGATCCGCCCCTACCCCGTGGATTAACCCAGAAATAGTCAAGGAGGAGGAAGAGGCTGGCTCGTTGATCCGCTTCCCCGTGGATTAACTCCGGAGTTGAACCACGAGGAAGTCGGTAGCAGGATCCACTTTGAAATGGATTAACTCCGGAGTCAATGTTTAATACTCCCGGTTTCATCCAGTTCGGAGGGGGGGGGGAAGATGAGGAGGAGGAGGAGGAGGAGGAGGAGGCGGAGGAGGAGGAGGAGGAGGTTGAGGAGGAGGAGGAGGACGACGAGGAGGACGAGGAGGACGAGGGAGGAGGGGAAACGAGTGGAAAACGAGGGGGCATGGGAGGGATACGAGGAGGAGAAGGGGAAGAAAAAATGTGGCGGAGGCGCAAGAGGAGAGTGACAGCGACCACGAGATTCGCCTCCGGCAGCTCGGAACTGCGACACTCCCCACACACACAGAGGAGGGTGATCAGAGCATTATGGAGGAGGCGATCTGTCTGGTTCAAGGCCGTGCGTCTCTGCGTCTCGGCATCAAACACCGACAAGCAACTCGGCACGCAGAATCGCGGTCATGCCTGGTGCAATTGCGGCCGTGCGAAACGTGTGCTCCCAATCGCCCACCATCTGGGATATCGTTGCGCTGCATCTGTCCTTCGGTGCGCGGACTGGATGGGCCAAGCCTGCTCGGAGGAGAGCTTGGCCACCGCTGTGCTGCTGCACGCACACGTGATGCGCTCCTTCACAAATGGACTTGCCCCCCTCCCCGTCCTCGGTATCCTTCTCCTCCAGCTGCCGGGACGGACCCTCCTGCTCCTCATCCTCCTCCTCGTCCTCCTCAGCAGCAGCAGCAACACCATCATCCATCCTGCCTGCACATACTCCCCTTCCTTCTTCTCCCTCTTGGAGGTACGGCAGC